AAACTGCTCCCTAGGCAGATGTGAGCAGCCAGTATGTCCTGCCCCATCTCTAGGGTGCCCTGGATTCCATTCCACTAAGCAGATAAAAATGAACTCACCCTTGGGCTCCTTCGAGGTGTGTGGACAGGCGGCACCTGTGGAGAAAATAATAACTGATAACATAGCCAACCCCAATTTTGGCTCTCAACCCACAACCCTTCTCTTAGTCCTCACCTCTACAGAATGCGCTACGATCTTCTTTAAAACGATGGGCTTTCTGACTGGAGCCGCATGGGGTGCCTAGAAAAGAGGAGTGAGTATGAGTTCCACATCAGCCCAGCGGCCTCCGGGGCAGAAACGAGGAAGCAGGGGCTCACCTTGGGCCAGATTTCAGGGAGGGTGCTCTGGAGATCAGGGCCTGATTTCCGCTGGGACCTCCGCAGAGACTGAGTAGGAGATGGGGCCCCCGGCCCTGGGAAGGGAAAAAAAGTTAGGAGGTAGGGGAAGACTCTAGGCCTCAGAGTCTGGAGAACAGGATCAGGAGTGAGCGAGAGAAGGTTCCCAAACAAGCTGCTTCCCGGGGAGTGAGCCTCCTAGAGCGGTGGGGGGAGGGACTCCTCGTGGGACTCCTTCCCTCAAACGGCTCGGCCCCACGCTCCCGCGCGCCTTCCGCTCACCGGAGCGCTGGGCGGCTCCTCCGGACCGCGTTCGCCTCTCGGACATGTTAGCCTTGGTCTCAACCCTCGCCGCCGTCTCCGCCGCCGGGGCTCGCGCCAACCCGGAGGGTCGACGGAGACCTAAACGTTCGAATTACCCGCCCTGCCTGGAGGAAGCGGAAGTGACGTAAGGCGGGCGGGCCGCTGTATTCCTCTCACCGCTCCTCGGGCTTCACGTCTAGCGTCAGCAGGGGCGGGGCCAGCGACACGCTGGCGTCATCAGCGCGCGCCGCACCCGGAAGAGACGTGGCAGCGGAGGGATAATCGGAGCGGCCCGAGGTAGAGCGCGCGGAGCGGGAGGTCGGCTGGGCGCGGTGTCTCTCCTTCCGCGCCTCGGGCCAGCGCTCGCGCCCGTCGGCACCGGTGCGGCGGTCAATCGGTAAACACGGGGCGGGGGCGGGGTGGGGGGGGGAGAAACCTGTGTTGAAGGTGGGGGCGGAGCTTGGAGGGGGTGGGGCTCAGGCGGAGCCCCTGGGGGCGGGGCTGGTGGTATCTGAGGCTCGCCGGTGGAGGGACCTGGCCGGGGGCGGGAGCCAGGAGGAATGAGGAGGGGGTCACCGCAGGCGGGATTCGTTCGGGGGGCGTGGCCCGGAATGTAGAGGGGCAGTAGGCAGGAACTGGGGGTTGGGGCGATTATGAGAGATGTTTAGGGGAGTTAAGAGTGGAAACGATCTGGGCTTGTGAGTTCGTCGTGGCGGACATCGGAACCTGGCTCTTTGTCAACTCAGACCCCTTCCTCAGGGTCGAATATGGGACTTTGCAAGTGCCCCAAGAGGAAGGTGACCAATCTGTTTTGCTTCGAACACCGGGTCAACGTCTGCGAGCACTGCCTGGTAGCCAATCACGCCAAGGTGGGGCCTTCAGGGGAGGGGCTGAGCAGGGCAGTGGGTGGGCAGGCAGGATTGGTTTCCTCCAACTCCGTGAAGGGCTAGGGGTTGGCATGAAGCTCCAGGAGGGCAGGAACTTGGTATCTTTTGTGCTCGGCTCTATCTCCAGCCCTTAAGACAGACTCTGGCACAGTGTGTGCTCAATAAATGTTTACTGATGGAACAAACGAAAGAATGATTCTCCTCTGTGATGAGAGAGACAAGCAGCTGGGCCTTGAGGAGATGGGCCCCCGTTGTGACCTCTCTCTCCCACTCCAGTGCATCGTCCAGTCCTATCTGCAGTGGCTCCAAGATAGTGACTACAATCCGAATTGCCGTCTGTGCAACATACCCCTCGCCAACCGGGAGACGACCCGCCTTGTCTGTTATGGTGAGGCCTGCCCAGCTTGGTGACCAGTTTCTGGGTCTTCTCTAAGCAGCAGGGCCATGAGATCTTCCCAGGCTTGGGAGGCTGGAGCCCCAAATTCTAGTCCTATGTTATTTACCTGCTGTGTGAGCTCATGCAAGTCATTTTCCCTTTATAGGCCTCTGTGTTTTTCCCTAAAAATTAAAGCTCTTAATTTATTTCTTTCCCATTTTGAGGGTTGAGTGAGAGCCAGTCCAACTTGTGGGTATCATTTTGGCTGTAAGCAGTAGCTGGCTGGACCAGCAGGGAGCTGAAGGCAGGAGGCTTTTGGACATTTGGGATCTGCTGTTCATTCCAATTAAACAGGAAGGGAGTTTCTCACAGTACATTCAGCCAAAAGAAGTTGGCACTCACATGTTCCATGACCTTGACCTGACGCTGGTGTAAGAAGCTTAACTCCACTTTTTGAAGGAGCTAGTGCAAAAGAGTTCCATGTGTGTGTTTCTCAGTGTGATGAGTGTGTGGGCATATGCACATGAATTTAATGTGTTATGACTTTACGTGTGGTAGTGTCTTCGTACCTGCAGGTGAATGAATGGGGAAATGCATGTGCACGTATGAACACAAGTGTGTTGGGAGGTTGCAGGAGAGTGTGTGGGTGACAGTGCTTGAGTTTTCAGCAAACGTGAATGTATAGGCGTGTACGTGTGGGAATCAGTGTGTCCCCAAGTATAGATGCAGGGGATGGTACTTGTGTTTGATTGTAGGTGTACAAGCATGTGTGTGTATGTGCTCGTGAGCATACGTGTACCTCTGTGTGTCTAGGAACTTTTTCTGAAACTGTTCTTGATTAGCTGTTAGCCCAAGGAGCTTGTGATGAATGTGTGTTCAGAGAGGACTCACTTTAAGGGTCGCTGACGTCTTCTTCACACCTTAGTGGGCTTTTCCCTTCTATTGCGCTGGGGATCTTGCTAGCATCTTGTTGACTGGGTCAAGTAATGGTGGCCAAGAAGGCCACATGCTTAGGGAACACTGTTGAAATGGACCTGAGCGAGGACAGGAAGGAGAAGGCTGTGGGCTTATGTGCGTGGGTGTGCATACGTCCGTGTAGCAGGCTAGGGGCTGTTGCTGGGCTAGATGTCCTAAGTGTCTTCTTCCTCATGCCTCTCTTCTCCTGTTTCATGGGCCCTAAGACCTCTTCCACTGGGCCTGCCTCAATGAACGTGCTGCCCAGCTACCCCGAAACACAGCGCCTGCTGGCTACCAGTGTCCCACCTGCAATGGCCCCATCTTCCCCTCAAGCAACCTGGCTGGCCCTGTGGCTTCCGCACTGAGAGAGAAGCTGGCCACGGTCAACTGGGCCCGGGCAGGACTGGGCCTTCCTCTGGTGAGAACCTGTCTGTCTGTCTGTCTGACTGAGCATCTGCCCTAGGTCCCACCTGGGACAGATGGGTGGGTAGGGACAGCCCCGGGCCGGCTGGTGACACAGGTTCCTTCCTGCAGATCGATGAGGTGGTGAGCCCGGAACCCGAGCCCCTCAACACCTCTGACTTCTCTGACTGGTCTAGCTTTAATGGTAAGTGGCGGTCTGCACTGCCTTTGGAAGCCCTTGCCCCCCTGCTCTGCTGACCGCTCCCTTCTTGCCACAGCCAATGGTACTGCTGAACAGGAGGAGATAATCAGCGCTTCCGCTGCCCCATCGTTCTACAGCCAAGTCCCCCGGCCCCCCGCTTCCCCGAGCCGGCCCGAGCAGCACACAGTGATTCACATGGGCAATCCTGAGCCCTTGACTCACGGTGAGCCAGAGAATTGTATGGTCTAGGGGAGAATAGAAAGGGAATGGGCCACCCTGGGGGGGCCCCCCTCCTCTCTCTGACAAAGGCATGACCTCTCCACAATTCTGAGATGCTCTGTTGGGCTGAGAGGGCAAGGAATTCCTGCCCTCCCCACTCCCCACCCTGCTGCGGGCCAATTTCACTGAGCCTGTGGATACCGGTGGCTCTGCCCCTGCAGCCTCAGCCCCGAGGAAGGTGTATGATACACGGGATGATGACCGTTCACCAGGCCTCCATGGGGATTGTGATGACGACAAGTACCGTCGCCGGCCTGCTCTGGGCTGGCTGGCCCAGCTGCTCAGGTAGGCAGGGTCAGGTGGGCCCGGCTGCCAGAAAGGGGGAGGAGAGGAAGTGAGAGTTAGAGGCCCCAGGCATGATTGTTGATAGATAAGATGGGCTTCCATCTTATTGGGTAGATGGGTAACCACAGTACCTGGTGTTGGGCTGCTCAGGCCCCTGCTCAGCTCTGGGAGTCTTGAGTCTAGTCCACCGTAGGGCTCTTTCCTCGCCTGCTAGGTATCTGAGGCTTGAGGTTGGGCTCTTTGAGGCCCCTTCCTGCTCTGACAGCCCCTGAGCCTAGCGACTCTGATGTGCCTGACACGTTCTGGTTTGCAGAATGGTGGTTGCTTCCGCCGGTTGGAGCTGCACCATCTGCTGCGTAACAAGCAGGCATGGGGATAAGCTTGCACACTGGAAGCAGAAAGGCTTGGGGACAGTGGCACCAGGGCCAGAAGGCAGGCATCATGTCTGGGGTTCCTCTCCGGGCCGAGGGGCCCCTGACCTGACTTCCCCCTCGTCCCCCCCCAGGAGCCGGGCTGGGTCTCGTAAGCGGCCGCTGACCCTGCTGCAGCGGGCAGGGCTGCTGCTGCTCCTGGGGCTGCTGGGCTTTCTGGCCCTCCTCGCGCTCATGTCTCGCCTGGGCCGAGCCGCAGCTGACAGCGATCCCAACCTGGACCCCCTCATGAACCCTCACATCCGTGTGGGTCCCTCCTGAGCCCTCGCTGGGAGCCGGGCCAGCCTAGGACCTGGGGGCCTGAGGTAGGGCGGTCTAGGGACTTTCCTTCTGCTCCTCTTCTTCAAGCCTGAGACACTAAGATCCCAGGCCCAGTCCAGTCCAGTCCACGAGAGTGGCTGCTGGCTGGGCCTGGGGCCCTTGCAGGGCAAACGTTTGTCTTGACCTGCTTACCCTCAGTCTCCAGCCCCCCACCCTCCCCACAAAGGAGATGACAGGTGGAAATAAATGACAGACTTTATTAAAACACCGAAGCCGCCTTTTCCTTCCCCTTTCTCAGGCCAGTCCTCAGGCCTCAGTGGTTCTCCTGCCGGTACTGGATGGCCAGAAACTCAAGGGACAGGCGGTTGAAGAACATGACTCCGTTTAGGACTGGGCAGACGAGAGAGCCCCTATCAGCATTCCCTGCCCGCTCTCTGCCATGTCTGGGGATCCAGAGCTCCCCCTTCCCCTTCAGCACGACCCCCTCCCCCACTCACTCAGGATGGTCAGGGCAAAGCACCGAAGAAACTTGTCATCTGTCATCTCAGCGTAGAGTGATCCCATGGCGGCCCAGCAGATGCTGATCACCTGGGAGAACTGTAGGCCCCGTCCAGTGGGAGAGTGGCCCCTGAGACAACAGCGGGGCTTCCATCAGCCCCTGGGCCTCCCCCGACCAGCCCTTGAGCCCTGGCCCCAGGCTACCATCAGGACCACCGTGTATTGAAAGCTCATGCGGTCGTAGCGGTGGGTGACGTAGAAGTTGTGCACATCGCTGGCAAGGACTCCGAGGTGTATAAAGAAGATCATCAGGGCAGCGGCGGTGAGCACCATGCCTTGTGGGAAGAAGAGCACAGCTAGCCGGTCCACCCACCGCATCGTGGCGGCCGCATAGACGCGAGACCGACAGCGGAACCTGAGCAAGCCGGCCCCGTTCGGGAGCAGCAGCTAACCCTTCCGGGTCCCGAGTGCGTGGTCTGGAATTGTGGTGGGATGCTAGAACCACGAGGACATAGGGGGACAAGATTCTAGAATACAGGCTGATTCCAGTCAGTATGGGAGTGGTTCACAGGTGGCTGGGGGAGCTCTGGGTTATGGAAGGTCAGACAGAGGGCTGACGGTACAGACCAGCAGGAGTGTTGAGGAAGGAACGGCGTCCCTCACCATCCTGCCTGCGTGCATGCTTCATGTGCTCGTGCCCATCTGCTCACCGAGCCCCTCGATGGTTCCGCACAGGGGGCACTGTGGGCACATGTCTACAGAGGCAGGGCTCAGAATGTGGGAGGGCATGTCCTAGGTCCGTGGCAAGTCTAGACTAGGCCCTGGTTGTGTAGCTGGAGGGCACCCCCAGGTGAGGGGAGGCATGGGCTGAATGGCTCCAAGTTTTTGCACCATTCCCGAATGGGGAAGAACTAGGCGAAGGCAAGAGACAAGAGCTTGCCTGCAGCTGTCCTGGGGCCTTCGCCAATTCCCTCTCTTGGCATGGCCCAGAGAGCACCTGGCTTTTCCATCCTCCCTCAAAGGTCCGAGGACCTGATGCCAACCAGCTTAACCGTCTGCCACCTTCCGGCACTCAGCACTTTCACAGCCATCAGCCCCGTCCTTTCCAAGAGTCCCAGGTGAGGCTGGTGGCATAAATCCTATTTTGCACCCAAATCCGAGGTACAGAGAGGGAGTGTCAGCCCGGGCGCTCCTGGCCGATGAGTGAGGGACTCACTGTGGACTGAAATGAAGGTCCAGTTCTACCCGAGGCTGTGACTGACTGGGTAGGGACCCTTCCAAGCAACAAGAAAACATTTCCTCCATACATGGAAGAGAGGAAAACTCTAGAACTCACAAGTATCATCCAGAAAAATGGGCAGAAATGGTGTGGAGGGACATGAAACTCCCAGGGACTAGAGTAGAAGAAGGGTACTTGAATTTTGCCCCACCCCCGGCCTCCTTCTTCTCTGCCAGCCACAGAAGTTAGGTTCACAGTCAAGACCCAAAATGCCCTGCCATTTCCTTGCTTGCTTCCCAGTGTCATTAATCACCACAGTCCCTCAGACCCCACATTCTGACATAGGGGTGACTCACCCAATCCTCAGCCGTTGGCCCACTGTTGAAATCACTGCACCTCTAGTCTCATGTGACTACAAATAAACTTTCATATGTTAGGGCTTCTGGCTTAACGCCATTTAAAAGTTTAAGTAGCGTATGACTATGTTACTGTAAAAGACTTGGGTAACACACAAGCATACAGAGGAAAAGGCAATGACCTCCCTCCCACCACTCCTACCTACCTAACAGAGGTAATCCCCTCAACAGTTTGGTGAGTGGGCATCTCTTGGGTCCCTTTTTTTTTTTTTTAAAGAATTTATTTGACAGAGACCACGAGATAGGGACACAAGCAGGGGAATGGAAGAGGGAGAACTAGGCTTCCTGCTGAGCAGGGAGCCTGATGTGGGGCTTGATCCCAGGACCCCTGGATCATGACCTGAGTCAAAGGCAGACACTTAACCAACTGAGCCACCCAGCTGCCCCTCAAGTTATTTTTTCTACCAGTTATAAATGTTTTGTATTTCTCCTGGACAATACCTACTTGTAATATCAGCATCTGAACATGTAATGGTAAATAGCAACATCAAATGTTCGTTCCTATGAGTAACTAAACAAGGCCCTAGGAATGGCACCAGCTAGACATGCTATACTTTTGGGTCTTATTTATTTGACAGATCACAAGTAGGCAGAGAGGCAGGCAGAGAGAGGGGGAAGCAGGCTCCCCGCTGAGCAGAGATCCTGGGGCTTGATCCCAGGACCCTGAGATCATGACCTGAGCCTAAGGCAGAGGCTTAACCCACTGAGCCACCCAGGTGCCCTCTGACACTTTTTTTTTTTTAAGATTTTATCTATTTATTTGACAGAGATTACAAGTAGGCAGAGAGGCAGGCAGAGAGAGAGGAGGAAGCAGGCTCCCTGCTGAGCAGAGAGCCCAACGTGGGGCTCGATCTTAGGATCGTGAGATCACGACCCGAGCCGAGGGCAGAGGCTTTAACCCACTGAGCCACCCAGGCGCCCCTGACACCATATTTTTTAAAACAGCCTCTGAAAAAAACAAAACAAAAACAAAAACAAAAAAAAAAAAACAGCCTCTGAACATCCTTTGGAACATAAATGGAACATTTCTGAACACAGATTGCAGGGGTCAGCAAACTTTTTCTGTAACGGACCGGATAGTAAATCATTTAGGTTTTGGCTCCCATAGGTTGGTTGGTCTCTCTCTTTTCTAAGATTTTACTTATTTATTTTACAGAGACACAGCTTGAGAGGGAACACAAGCAGGGGAAGTGGGAGAGGGAGAAGCAGGCTTCCCGCTGAGCATGGAGCCTGATGAGGGGCTCCATCCCAGGACCCTGACCTTCAACCTAACAACTGAGCTACCCAGGAGCCCCCATAAAGTCTCTCTCACAACTACTCAACACCTCTTTTGTAATGCAAAACCAGGCATAGAAAATATGTAAACAAGGGGGCCTGACTGTTCAAATAAAATTATAGACACTGCCATAATTCATATACTTTCACATGATTTTCATATTTTATGAGAATTGTCTTAAACTGAGATAGACATATTACATTATTTTCAAGTGTACAATGTAATAATTTGATATTTGTATGTATTTTAAAAGGATCACAAGTCTAGTTAACATCTGTCACCCTACAAGTTACAATTGTTTTTCTCCTGATGAGAACTTTAAAGATCTACTCTGATTATATGAATGTTACAAATTTTTCACCTCATGAAATGTCATTTATATATTTTTTAACCATTAAAAACAAACAAAAAAAGCAACACACCAGTCCTAGCTCACAGGCCAAATGAAAACAGGTGGTGGGATGTGTTTGGCCTGCGGGACCCCTGCCAAAGAATGATTAAAAAAGGTGGTTGGTTACCATTCCATCACCCCGCCACCCCACCCCAGTCCCCGCCCCCGCCCCCGCCGCCAGCCAATCACAAGCAATGTTTCAAGGACCACCTCGATAAAGTCGTTTTCTCTATTAAAACTCATGCTTTCTCAATCTGAACTTCATTCCTGTCCGACTGAGCGCTGCATCTTGGTGAACACCTGCATTTTGACGAAATTGGATGCCTGAAAGTGACCCTCAACATCTCCATCAGCCCCTCACTCAGTATGGCCCACCAGTCCCTGACATCTGAAGAATTGGGCTTCTAAGCACGTATGTTGCGCTTGGGGACTTCAGGAAAAAAAAAAAAAAAAAAAAGAGAAAAGAAGGAGAAGAAGAAGCAGCAGCATTAGCAGCTAGAGGCAACGCACGCCCTGTACCGGCATCTAACCCTCTCGGCCTTCGCGCAGACTCCTGTGAAGTCGCGCCCCCCACCCCGGATTAGGAATGGGGGAAACTGAGCCGCCCCCCAGGTAACGAGCCAATGCCAGGATGTCAGGCACACGCTCTCTGGCTCCACGGTCGGCGCTGCGTCCGCGGCATCCAGGGACGTATTCCGGGGGCCTCTGCGTGCCGGGCTGCGGGACTGGGAGCCACGACTCGCTTTCCTTCTGGGAGGGAAGCACCCCACAAGTTCCAGTCAATCCTTCCGCTGGAGAGGCTGGGGGGAACCTGGGGCTCTCCTGGAACCTCTTCGCTCGCGGAGGAAAGGGACGGGGGAACGCTAGTCTCGAACACCCAGGGTTGCAGGGGGACGTTTCAGCTGAAGGACTGCCTCGTTGCAACAAGAACTTTATGGCTCCCGGAAGTGCTTCCTCCCGGTCCTTTTCCCAGCCTCTCGCCGGTGGGCTGCAGTTGGAGCGATGGCGGCGGCAGCCGCTGGGCCCGGCACGGGGTGTGGACCTGGGGACTCTCCGGAGGGGCCCGAGGCAGAGGCCCAGGAGCGTCGGCGGAAGGCGCACGGGATGCTGAAGCTTTACTACGGCCTCTCGGAGGGGGAGACGGCGGGGCGCCCCCCAGGGTCGGACCCCCTGGACCCGACGGATCTCAACGGGGCGCACTTCGACCCGGAAGTGTACCTGGACAAGGTGTGTGTTTGTGTGTTGGGGGAACCAAACCCCTGATACATTGCACCCCCAGGTCACGACTTCGACTTCGTTGCGGGGGTGAGGGACGCAGGGGCTCCTAAAAACAAGACGACCCTCGGGGAGGAAGCGGGGGCAGAGCTGGAGTGTAAGGGAGGCATGGGCCGACTAGCGCTGGCCTGAGGAGGTGTGGAGTGTGAGGTGTCTGAGGCTGGTGTTCTGGTAGGCCCGCGGCAGGGGGCGTGGCCCGGGCGCCGATGGGCTCTGGACTGGGCCCTGGCTGGGTCTGAGCATTTCATAGGCTGACAAACCCCAAACAGGGTCGAATCCAGTAACTCCTGAGCTACGCCACTGATAGGCCCCATGTCTAGGATTCCTGACAGGGGCTGGATGAGGGTTTTCTTGCACCGAAAGCCGACCAGGTAGGGGTTAGCCGAGGGCCATGGGGGTCCCCGGACCTGAGCACTAACACCCCGATTTCCTCCAGCTGCGTAGAGAGTGCCCCCTGGCCCAGCTGATGGACAGTGAGACAGACATGGTGCGGCAGATCCGGGCTCTAGACAGCGACATGCAGACCCTGGTCTATGAGAACTACAACAAGTTCATCTCCGCCACAGGTGATTCCCGCTGGGACACACAGTCCCGCTGCTTACCTGTTGTCCTGTGTTGGGGAAACCAGCAGGGGATTCAGGGGGAGGAGACGCAGACTCTAGTCTTTCCCTGACATTAATCCCCTCTCATCTCTCTCTCAGAGCTTTGGTGGTCGAATGACTAGAGAGGTAATAGCTGCTCTCAGAGGGTTGCTCTAAGGATCAAAGGGGGGGAAAAACAAAATGAAATTTTAGACTGACATGGGTTACCTGAACCACTTGGAGTCCCTGACACTAAGGATGTTTAAGGATGAGTTTCTCTTACTAGTGGTAGCTTTCTTCTCTTGTCCAGGTCTGTCTTGTGGCTGGGCTTGTCTCTCTTTCTCTCCCTTCCTCTATCCTTTGCCCCCTTTTATTTTTAAAAATTTTATTTATTTTTTTGACACAAGAGAGAGAGATCACAAGCAGAGCAGAGAGGCAGGCAGAGAGAGGGGGGAAGCAGGCTCCCCGCTGAGCAGAGAGCCCAATGCGGGGCTCGATCCCAGGACCCTGAGATTATGACCTGAGAGGAAGGCAGAGGCTTAACCCATTGAGCCACCCAGGCGCCCCCCTTTCCCCCTTTAAATCAAGCAAAGAAACAGAAAACTTAGGACATTAAGGGACACAAAGATCAAGTAAAGGTGTTTTGTTTTTTTTTTTCCCCCTTCCTGCCCCCTTTATTCTCAGTCTAGGACAGTGCTAGACAATGTTCAGCTATCAGTCACAGTAACTACTCTTCTTATGTTGGTGAAATGCACTACTCAGACTTTCATGATAATTTTGGATCCCTGTGTACTTAGCCCTAGAGGCGGGTCTTCAGGGTCTGTCTGTGGTCCCTGAGAATGTTGGGTGAACCTTTTTGAGGTTCATTCTGACGTCTCTTACCCTACTACTGTCACAATGCTGGGTGTGGTCATTGTTCTTTTGTCCGATGTGAAGCAGGTTCAATGAGTAGGCATCCTTTATTTGCTAATAGCGTCCACCAAAAGGAATTTCTAGGGGGCCTGGGCATCTCAGCTGGCTAACAATCTGACTCTTGATTTTGGTTCAGGCTGTGATCTCAGGGTCACAAGATGGAGATTGAGCCTGGTGTTGGGGCTCCAAGCTCAGTGGGGAGTCTGCTTCTCTCTCCCACGCTTCCTCTCCCTCTGCCCCTCCCCACCCCATGGTCTTTCTCTCTAAAATAAATAAATCGTTTTTAAGAAATCATCATAATCTCTGAGCTACGAAATTTCCCACCAGAATTTTGCAAGCATTGCATTTTCTCTGTGTTAGAATTTGTATAGTTTTGACATTGAGCTCTTGCTTAATGAGGATGGCTTGTTATTTTATCTTTTTCCTAAGAAAGGGAGAAAATTATAAAGTGAGTGTTGGAGTCAGGGGTTCTAAATCTATAAATACTTTAAGGTCTTACATCCATTCAAGAAGTATTCATTGAATGCCTCTTTTTTTTTTTTTTCCTCTCTCTCTCTCTCTCTCTCTCTTTTTTTTTTTTTTTTTCCAAGAGCTGTTCTGCATATTGAGGATATAGTAATGAACCAGCTAGGTCGAGCTCCTCCCTGCAGCCCGTATCCTAGTTGGGGAGACAGTCAATAAATGAATGCACAAAGGCGGTAGTAAGTGCTAGAAGAAGAAAATAGAGTAGAGAGAAAAGAGTGATGTATGTGTGGGTCTGTCCTTAGCTAGAGTAAGTATAAGACCCGTTGGAGGTCGTGACATTTGAGCAGGGCTTTGAGGAGAGCGAACCAGCCCTGGTCGGGGAGGAAGCAGCAGGGGCAGAGGCTCTGAAGAAAGGTCATGTCAGGTGTATTCAGAGTATGGCAGGAAGTTAAGGGGGAGCGAGGGAGGAGGAGAGTGTGGGTGATAGGGTAGAGGGTTTTGTAGAAGACCAGATTTTGTAGGGACATAAAAGTGTTTATGAGGATCCCGCTCTTCACTTGGAATGAGATGAAATGAGGAGATTGGGGTAACCTAACTTTTATTTCAAAAGGACCCCTCTGTCCACTCTGTGGGGAAGGGACTATAGGGAGGCAAGGGTGGCCGAGCCCCCCATTAGGTGGCTGTTGCAGCAGTTCAGGTGAGATGCTGGTGGCATGGACCATGATGGCAGCAGGGGAAAGTGGAAGGATCTGAAATTGGTTTTGAATTGCTTACTTGAAGGGTGTGGAGTTCAGAGAAGGCTGGAACTCGAGGTACGGGGGGGTAGGAGGGGCTCTCTGATGGAGAAAGTATACAGAGAGAAGAGGTCTAAGGACTGAGCCGTGGGACATCCTGACGTTCAGAAGTGTTGAAGAGAAGGAGGATCTCGCAAAGGAGGCAGCATTTGCAGAGGCTTGAGGACAGTCAGGGGCCTGGGTGTCTGAGCAGCCACAGGAGGGAAGCATTCCAAGAAATAGAATTGATAAGCTGGGCTGAAACATTGGCATTTGGAGTGCTGATGGATGGTGCAGAGAGAGGGAAATGGCAGGGGCAGAGTCTTCGGGAAAGGGGGAGGAGATAGAGCAGTGCATGGGCAAGGGGTTGGCCTTCATCAAGTGTCAGGAGCTCCTCTGCTGTAGCAGGGAGAGCTGCGCGTGGGCAGCGCCAGTCAGGCGGGCAGCTGCTGTACAGTGTAAGTACATAGTAAGGAAGTTTGCCTTTATCCATACTAAGCACTAAGCTAAGCAAGGAGTTCAGACATGAGAGTGATATAGCAGATTTCTGTTCTGAAAAGATCCCTCCAGCTGCTCTGGGAGGAGTGGGTTGGAGAGGTGGCTGGAGGGAGGCCTTTTCGCTTGTCCAAGCTAGAGATCTGGGAACTTACATCAGGTTGGTAGCTGTGGAGATGGACGGTGATGGACAAACTGAGAAATATTTGCGGCAATATCGATGGGCCATGGCGTTGAGGAGCTTTGGGCATAAAGAATGACCCCGAGGTTTCAGCTTGATGGTCAGATGGTGGGTGTGGTGCCCAAGAAACTGCAAGAAAATCAGGTTGGGAAGAGGGTCATGATGAGCTAGAGTTTTGGTTTGGTTTGGTTTGATTATTACCTCTAAAGCGGAGCTGGGTGTGAAATGAACCTGGTACATCCTATGGGGCGAAGCGTGTCAGATAATAACAGCATCTGCTGTCAGAAGAAACCTTTTTTTTTTTTTTTTAAGATTTTTATTTATTTATTTGACAGAGGGAGAGAGAGAGAGATCACAAGTAGGCAGAGAGGCAGGCAGAGAGAGAGGGGGAAGCAGGCTCCCTGCTGAGCAGAGAGCCCGATGGGATGCGGGGCTCGATGCCAGGACCCTGGGGTCATGACCTGAGCTGAAGGCAGAGGCTTAACCCACTGAACCACCCAGGCGCCCATGTCAGAAGGAATCTTGGTGGATCTAGTCTACCCCTTCTTTTCTTTCCTTGGAGTACTGCTAAGGAGTGGCCTTCTTACTAAGGGGAGTCTTTATTGAGGGGGTGGGTTCTCATAACATTGAGGCTAAGGGAGGTAGGTTTCGAGGTGTTGGGAGCGATACAAAAGGAGCTGACAAAAAGGCAGACGGATATGTCTGCCCGGAGCTCAGAGGAGGGATCTGGGCTGGCAGTTGGTAAGCCTGCGAGTCCAGTGGGAAGAGAAGGAGATTTTCAAGGGGAAGTGTGGGTGGGATTGCCCGAGGACGGGATAGAGCCTGAGAAGAGCAGAGAGCCCAGGACAGAGCTTTGAGGAATGCCTGTTTGATGGCCCTGGAGAGGAGGCCGAGCCTGCAGTGGAGACAGAAGTGGTCGTAGAGGGAAGGTGGTATCTGCATGAAGCTACATCCCTTTGACTGACTCATTCGTTTGTTCACTTACTTGCTAAATATTTGATTGCTGTGTACCAGGCACTGTTCTAGGCACAGGGATGTAGCTGCAAACAAGACAGTTTCTCAGCCATCACAGAGGATATGTTCTAGAGAAAGAGACAATGATAAATAGAGATCCTCTCGCTCAGCAAGAGCTCTGGAAATGAAATAGGGTAATGGGGCGGGGTCGGGAGTGGTTTAGAAAGGGGGGCAGAGAAGGGGTTTTGTAAGGAGGTGATGATGAAGGTGAATGATGCAGAGCTGACTGGGGGAGGGTCTGGAGGCAGAGCTGCTCAGGCTGAGAAAAGAAGCTGTGCAAAGGTCCTGGGAATGCTCTGACCAGAGCAAGAGCGACCAGAGGAAGGGAGCAGGACCGATGGCACAGGGTATACGTGAGGGGTGGCACGCTTTTCCTGAATAAAGTACACATTTTAGGCTTTGTGGGCCCTCTGGTTTCTGTACTTGTTTCTGCTGTCCTAGCCTGAGGCCGCTGCGGGCTGTAGGTGCGGGAGTGGACAAGGCTGGATTCCGGCGAAGCGCATTTTCGTGAACAGCTGTGATGTCCAGGATGACATCAGCAAAAATAGTGGAGCAAGTGCATTGGGAAATCTCTCTTCTATAAAAGCAACTAAAAAACCTGGCCCAAATGCTCAGAATCAACTTTTTTCCGGAACTCTAGAAATTAATCAAAGGTTTGCAACCATCTGAGGAGCCTATATTTAAGAAAAACAGCTAGATCTTAGTAAAAGTGGTGAATCTGGTGTTTTTTTTTTCCCCCCTTGAAGATTTACTTATTTGAAAGAGAGAGAGCATGAGGAGGAGGGGGAGAGAGAGAGAGAGAATCTCAGCTTGGCACTGAGCCCAACTTGGGACTTGATCTCCGAACGCTGAGATCATGACCTGAGCTGAAACCCAGAGTCCAACACGTAACCAACTGAGCCACCTGGGCGCCCCTCCTGTGGTGTTTTAACTTACCCTCACAATCTCCTCAGTAGTAACCTCGGAAAACAGCGCATTATTTCTCATGTGGAAGGACAGAACAGGGCTGGAGCTCTTTCAAAGCCTCATGCTGAAGGAATTGTCTGTGTAAGCCGTCTGGTGGTTCCCTGAAAGATTCCACACCACAGATTTCTCTTTATTTGACCTGACCTTGAAGTTAACCCGATATTAAAAGCCTCTCACAG